TTATAAGGTAGGTTAGATAGGTAAAAGGCCTTCCACCATAAGTCTACCCATAAATCATATATTCTCATATATATTTAACTCTTAAAGCCTAAACATACATAATTCATCATATTAGCTTTACTCTCAAAGCCTTAGTGATCAACATTCATGACTACAAGCCTTAATCTCAAAGCTTTATTTCTACAATCATCATACATACCAAGATTTCAAGGCATTCTAATCACATGCTTCATTATTAAGTGATTCTCATCATAAGTCATCATAAAGGTTAAACTTCAAGGTTTACTAGTCATGATCCATCATATATAGTAAAATATAATTCAATTCATGTCAACATGCTTTTATTCATGAACAATTACTACTCATAACATCAATTCTAGAAGATCATCTCTAAGTCTTCAATTTCCCCCTTTCAGCCACAAACCCACATTTATTCAATTTCATCAATTAACTAGGGTTAGCCTTGGAAAACATATAATATTTTCATAATCACATAATCATTACTAAATCAATCATAAACAAGTCCTATCCACTCAATTTGAATCATACTCAACACTACCCATAATATAGGAAGAAACCCAAGCTAGAATTGGGGTTCATATACAATATTTGGGGGAAATCTAGGGGGCTCCATGGATGGAAGAATACATGGATGAATAAGCTATCGTACCTTGATTATGAAGCCCTCACAAAGCTTGCAATGATGGAGGAATTTTAGCTAGCTTGCTTCTCTACTTCTTCTTCTTTACTTTTTAGAGAGAGAATTTCTTGGAGGGGATTGGGTTCTTTGGTGAATTGAAAATATTGATTTGGATTCATGTATTTAGGGTATATTTGCTTTATATAGGTGGTCTAATTACTGATAAAGAGACACCACTTAATAACTAACTAATTATAGAATATTGCCTAACTCCAAAACTTAACCGACTTAAAGGAGTGCACTGCCTCACCCACGAGACCCCGACCCACGGGCCGTTGGTGGACCCATAGGCTGTACTAGTCCTCCGTGGGTGGTGGTATGCAGCTCCACTTTTGGGGTCTTGGGTCCACGAGGAGTGGATCCCCCTACGGGGTGTCTAGAGAGAACTCCACTTTTTGGATCAACTTTCACACGATCTGAAAAAAAATGGAAAAAACTCCATCTATGTGGGCTGTCTTTCTGGCAGATTTTGGGTAGTTTCTAGTGTCTCTTCAAGGACCCTTGGTTTGTCCTTGGGGAGTCATACCTTGACGTTTAACCCCTAAACCCTTCATTCTAAGTAAGGGAAGACATTTCTACGACTCGAACCCTCACTTCAAACTATAAACCCTTATATAAGTCTCTAGTTTAGACTACTAGTTTTCGGGTGTTACAGTGGTCCCATCCACAGACCATGGGTGGCCTTCGTGGGTCGACACCTGCAACATTCAATAGTCAGACATCTTTCCCTTTTCGGTATCCAGGGTGTTACAATATCTCCCTCTTGGGATCATTCATCCTCGAATGAGATTCAAGCTGGTAGGAAAAGAGTAGGAGAGAACTAACAACCGAACCTACAATGCAACTTCATCTAAATGCATATAACCAAGCAGGAACTACAAACTCCAAGTTAGGACATACTCAAAACATCATAAAAGGGGTGGAACTAAATCTACAGCCCATCATGCATGTAATACACATAACTGAAAAGGAAACCTCAACTCAAAGTAAAAATCATACTCAAATGCATATCTCCGAGGAGGAGAGTTCAACTCCAAGCTCAAGACATGCTTACAACATCATATCAAGTAGTCTACATGCAATTCATACTCAATGCACATAAACATATAAGAGTCAATCAAATAAACTCATTTTCTCAAAATTTAATTTTTTCATAAATCATGCATAATATGGAAATCATTGAAACATATAAGAAACATGAACTCAAAACAAAGAACAAACCATGAGGAACTCATTGCCTCAAGCTAGAGTTAGAGTAGACGGAAAAAGAAGAGGATATCGAGACATCATATCGGCCTCGGACTCCCAAGTAGCACCCTCAACTAATTCATTCCTCCACAACACTTTCACGAAAGCTACTTCCTTATTTCTCAACTTTATGACTTGCCGGTCTAAAATCTCAACCGGAATATCTTCATATAGAATATTCTCCTTAACTTCCAAACCTTCTAAGGGAACTATGGATTTCGGATCACCAACATATTTCTTCAACAAAGAGACATGAAAAACTAGATGCACCAATGCAAATTCATTAGGCAAAGCTAGTTCTTAAGCAACCTTACTAACACACTTAAAATCTGATATGGGCCTACATATCGGGGACTAAGCTTCCCTTGCTTACCAAACCTAATTACACCCTTTATGGGTGAAATTTTCAAGTAAACCTAATCATGAATATCAACTGAATATATCTTCTTCTTTCATCGGCCTATTACTTTTGTCAACTTTGAGTCGTTTTCAACCTTTCTCTAATAAGTCAAACTTTCTGTATGACCTCATATACCAACTCTTGACCTATGAGGGAGACTTTAACCACCTTAAACCAACCTATAGGAGATCTACACCTCCTACCATATAATGCTTCAAATGGAGCCATATCGAATCTCGAGTGATAGTTAATGTTATAGGGAAACTCAATCAATGGAAAATGGTCATCCCAATTTCCCTTAAAAGAAATCACACAAGCACTTAACATATATTCCAAAGTTTGGATAGTATGCTCCACTTGCCCATCGATTTGGGGATGAAAGGCCCTACTAAGATCAACCTGAGTACCAAGACCTTTATGGAAAGACTTCCAGAACTGAGAAGTGAATTGGGTACCACGATCGAAAATAATGGACAAAGGCACTCCATGCAACTTTACAATTTCTCTCAAGTACAACTTGGCATAGTCCTCCGCCGAATAGGAAACCTTGATGGGAATGAAATGAGTCGATTTCGTCATCCGATCTACTATAATTCAAATCGAGTCATATTATCATCGTGTGCTAGGCAAACCAACAATAAAGTCCATATTCAAATCTTCCCACTTCCAAGTAGAAATGCTAGTATCTTGGGATAAAGCTCTAGGTTTCTGATGCTCAACTTTCACCTGTTGACAATTAGGACACTTGGCCAAAATTTTTGCAATGTCCTTATTCATCCCATTCAACCAATAGACCTCCCGTATATCACGGTACATCTTGGTGGCTCTCGGGTGAATGTAGTTTGGGGTGGATCCAATGAGGAATATGGTTTAGACCTAAACTTAACTCACACCTATCTTTTTTTAGTCAAACTATTTCCGAGAAAACTAAACAGGGTGGTTTTTGTAAATAAAATAACAGATTGTTTATTTGAATCAATAAGTAACAAGTAAGAAAGATTCATAGTTTGAGATATAAATATAATATGCAAACTAGGGCACACTACTAGAAATAAGGCCTACGGCAACAGATTTTTTAGCAACGCTTAAGCAACTGTTACTATAGAGGGTCTATTGCAATGGTTTGAACCGTTGCTAAAAGGATTGGGTATTATTGCTACGACTAGGTAATAAATCTGTTGCCATTGTGTGAAAACCGCTGCAATAGACCTACATATTACAATGGTTGCCAGAACCGTTGTCATAAAGTCAACTATGACAACATTTAATGCGATTTATTTTCTATTGGAACGGTTATTAAATCCCTCCATAATTTCCCTCTCTTATTTTGGATGAACCGCCAAAAGATATTCATTGTATTTTATTTTTAACTAATTTTTTAAATACAATTTATTTTTCTCTTTATCAGATATTGATACAAACGAGGCAAACATTTGCTAAGCTTATTTCCCATCTCTTCAACTATCAGAACACAGAAGTTGTCATTGTTCTTCTCTTGAACCTAATTTTTCATCCATTCATAGCAAATCGATCGAATACAGAAGTTGGGGAGCATTGCAGGTAAGTTCTTCATTTCTCTCATTTTAGGACTAACATAAACCCATTTTTGATTTCGAATCTAAACCTATTTCTCTCTTCAAACCTCTTGTGAAATCTAAGGAAATGGAGGGTTGTATGTTTTCTTGTAAAATTTGAGAAATCTAGAGGTTTTTTTCTTCAACTGCTGGAGGTTCTCTTCTTCAATCTTTGAGGTTATAGCTGAAGAAACTACAAGTTTAGGCTTTTGAGATTTTATTCTTGAATCTCTTCTTTTGTGTTTAATCTTTGGGTGTGGTTAGTGTATTTGATGTATTTCTCTATTTGTGGGTTTTTCTTCATTAAATTGTAGTTATTGTGGGTTTAATGTTTTGCTGGAGTTATGATGAAATTGACTACTCTAGACCATATTTAACTTGACATTGATATTGAATTTCTTGTCCCTGAGTTATTCAATCGGATTTGAATACCTTTGCATTGATGAAGTCTTCATTGATTTCACCTCTCACTTGTGTAGGATGTCAAAAATACACTTTCATTATTGTAAAAGATTTACGTTAGAGCAACAAGAAGCAAGAGATACATTAACATAAAAATGGAATAAACTAAATTTTGCTACTGATTGGTACAAAAATTTACTACTGGTTCGAAAAGTGATCTTTTCTGTCAGTCATCACCATCCAAAGCATAACACCATCTACTCCGGCAAGCGCTTCCTGCGTCTGGCCGAGTCCGCCATTGTTGCTTGAGCTATAGCCATGGCTGTAACTTGTAAGTGCTCCTCTTTTTTTTCCTGCATTTCTCAGTTGTATTCTTTCTGGTTTATCGATGTATATGAGCTATTGTGAAGTTCCATAGGTGGATAGTCTCTTTGATATCATCATAATACTTTTGATTTTCCTCTTTTCTCCTTTACTGATTGCTTCTAATTGTTGAAGTACCTCTTTTTTTGGCTCCATTAAATTATCAAAAGTGCTATTGTTTAGGTCTATTTCCTGTTATAATAGAATGTAGCTTGTGTTGTGACTATTCTATAGTTGATCGTTCGTTGATGTCTTCTTAAAATGGACTTGTATATGCTCATGAATTATAAAATAATTATTCATCAACAAAAAGAGACCATGAATGTTCTGCCAAAAGCTATCAGATCAAGCATTGGACATTACCTGTTTTTACCAATAGTTCAAAATGTCAATCTGTTCCGAGGCGTTTCCAAGGACCTGCTTTTCCAACTGGTAATTTCTTGTTCTACATTGTTCTGATCCCCTTCTCACTCGGCGTATACAACGTATATTCAATGGTTAATTTCCTTCTTTTAAGGTTCCTGAAATGGAAGCTGAATACTATCCTTCCAAGGAAGATGTGATTTTACAGAATGAGTCTCAAACATATTTTTACATAATCGTCTCAGGAGCATTGGTAAGTTAATATTCTGGGAACAATTACTTGAAGTTAATATGTATACTATTGTAGGATCTTCTAGTAGATATCGATGGACGTGAACAAGTAAGTATAACACATTCAACAATCATTATATCATTTTCAAACACATTAGCCTTAACTTATTTTTTCTGAAATATGTTCAAAAACAGATCATTGGGAAGGCTGTTGCTCGAGAATCATTTGGAGAAATAGGTGTTTTACTTGGAAGGCCACGACCATATGCTGTTACAACAACTGAAATTTCTCAAATTTTATGTGTAAGTAGGAAAACATTTCTGAACATTCTTCGTCACAATCAAGAAGAAGAACAGATTATAATGAGAAATCATTTTCAGGTATGTGTACAAGGATATGATCACAAATTGTGCGGCACACAACTATAATGAGGAAAGTTGTAACATACACTCAACTTTCTTTGATCCTTTTTCTTTTTGATAAATAAAACCTGCAAGGATTTGGAGGCTTTGATAATGTGGACGAGGAAAGCGATCCAAGTTTAGTCTTCAACAACTGTTCTCTTGTTTCTAAGCAAGAAATGCCAACCAATCCTAGCGATCTGATTAGTATAAATATTCAAACTTTAGAAGCTAGAACCATGAAACAAGTTGAAAATGAAAGTGAAAGTGGTGGAGGTGAACACCATATAGTTCTTGATCATTATGTAGTTCCCAAGGGGCATATTGAAATGGCTACGAGTCTACCAGAAAGAAGGTGGAAAGAAGATCAACTCGACACAGAACGTGGAGGAAACAAAAGCATCCATGAGGTCCCCTGTTGTTCTTATTCAGGTAATAGAAGTCAAACTAGTGCAATTGGGGGGAAATCCATCAAGAAGAGAGTTACTATTCACATGAGAAACAACATCAATTCATTGCAGGAGCAGAATGTGAAGCTCATAATATTACCTGATACACTAGAAGAGCTATTCATAGTAGTCACAACAAGGAGAACTGAAAATGATAGCTGATCTTGCAAGTCCTGCTTATAAGCTTGAGTTTCCGACAATTGGCAAGGTATGGCCAAATCTCTATGTGGTTATATTTGAGAAAAAATACTATTAAAGATATTATCAACATTTTGTAGGTCAATAGTATTGACGATGGTTCCTAATTTACCTTTAAAAATATCACAGGGAACATAATACTGAGTTTTCAATATTTGCGGCTTCTTAAGATTGTGTCTGAAAAATGGAGAATGTAATCCACGATGCAAAAAACACTTGAATGTAGTTTCAACCTACTCTCTTGCTCTTTGATGGAGTAAATTTCAGTAGAAAAGATGAACCGATCGAGGTGTTAATTGCTAAGGTATTTTATGATGCATTAATAGTAGCCTGGATTTGTTCCAAAGTTCTTCCTTTTATTTTTGGTACTATCTTGATAACAAATAAAATGGGTAGTGCATTGACTGCAACATACATAATGAAAGTACTTGCGAACAGCTAAACTAATGTGAGTTGAAAATTTGATTCAAATTTCTCATTTTTTGCCTTACTTTAGAAATGATATTTGTGACGACTTCTTACCAAAAGAAATCTAGGTCATTTCGAAGTTGAAAATGTAGGAGCACCATACTCATGCCCCCAAACCATTCACTAGATACTTATAGGATATATATGCATGAAAGAAAATACTTATTTCTTATAACCCTCTATATTAGATTATAGAATCTGATAGGTGAAAATCTAATACCTTGTGAATCTCTCTTGTTAAGGAACTTCAAACTGTAGTAGTGGTCTAAATATAACCCTCTGAAACTGAGAGTTAGAAAGTAGAAGCTATTTAGTGAAGTAATTTTGGAATAATATCTCTAACTAGTCAAATAACTATCTAACTTATGAAGGTATGTTGCTTATTAATTAGTACTATGTATTAGTTGTTGAGAATGTATTATTTACTTTTGGAAGGTAATTAGATAACTTTCTAATAAAATGGTAACATTCTAAAATAACTATAGCTCAACTATTAAACTTGTAATTATTAGTATGTAGTGAAAAAATTTAAATTTCTTTTATTGATCTTCATTTTATAGAGATTGAACATCAGTGAAAAGAAGAGTCGAAGTGGAATTTGGGGACTCGAAGAAAATCACCTCAGTTTGCTTCCACAAAATAGGTCTGCATCATCTCTTTTTTCCCTTGAAATTCTAGAAATTCAAGTGTCTTCATGCTTCTATAAAGAATATGAAAATTTGTTAGTTGTCATTCATGTGTGATTGAGAGTAAGAGGATTCACTTACTCAAAAAGATATTAATGTCAATTTTGATCAAATCGTCATTGTTTTTCATTTAGCAATATGTGATCAACATCTTTGTTTAAATTGATTAGTTTTAAGGAAATTATGGTTTATACACTTCTCTTTTATGGTTTTGTGGTTCCGTTTATGTTACACACTTGGAGGTCATGCTTTGAGACACAATGATCTGTTTCTGCTACTCATTTTATCTAGAAAAGATTTAAGGTCTTAGGATGAGTTTATGGTGAGTTCTTGAGCTTTACAATTTTAGAGTTCTATCCACAAGACATAAAGATTTTAAATGAAATTCACCATTTGATAAATATGAGATTGTTTGTTTATTTCTAAGCCTAAAACATGCTTGAGTTCAATGAATCTATGTTTCTTTTATTTTTAGAACTTCATTCTTAGAAAAGTCATTTGTTTACTTCAAAAGGCAACATATGCCTATTTTTAATCAAAATACGAAATTGTCCAGATTTGTGTTTATCTAAATGTGGGCTAACATCTGATAACTTGTTTTGATCCTATTTTAAAATCTGGTGATATCCACATTGTACATCAAGAACACCTTGAGTGAATGAATTCAAAGTCTTGAAGAGAAAAGGTGTTTTAACTTTCAAAATTGTCAATTGTTGTATTTAGCCATGGTTCAAAGTTTAAGTTCTCTTGTATTTCAAGATATACATGTTGTCAAGTTTATTTGTGTTTCCTACTCCATCTAAATGACAAAAAATTTAAACTAATGAAGTTGATATGTTTCAGTTAACTCTTGCATATCTAGCTACACATAACATTTTGTTTCGTATAAAACATGCCTACGAGAATGTTCCACATGTTGGTCTTGAACTAGCTGGAATAATTCATCTTTAACTATATGGATGAACAGATAGAGTGTCAGTTTATTTCCACCCTTGTTTAAAATTTTGAGTTAAGTGTTCACCCTATTCAATTTAGGTTAGGAATTACAATTTTTGTTTTTAAATTTCAAGTGTTGAATATATACATGCTTTCATTGAATAAACTTATTGTTTGTGCAGATTCTTATTTTGATGGCCATGAATTATGCATTCTGGAATTAGTAAAAGCGTCGACCACAAGTGATCAACGAGCAAGTAAAAATGGAGTGCAAGTACAAGTATTTTGACATTCTTAATAGTAAACAGAAATGTAAAGATAAGTTATGAATAGAAGAACTGTATAAATAGAGAAGCTATATATATAGAGGATTTGAACAGGCTTGTTGGAGGAGCTAGTTATTGGTTGCTTTAATTGTAACTCTTCTGATTGTTGTTTTAAATACTGTGTTTGTTGAACCAAAAATAGATTTATTTAAGAGTTTTATAAATTTTTATGTGCTATATTTTTATTATATATACAAATAATGATTACAATCAAATTAATATAATTTTGCATATTGAACCGCTGCAATAAGCCATTTGGCTGTTGCAATAGCCTACCAAACTGTTGCAAATGGTTCAAATAAGCATTGCAATATGCAAGTTGAACCATTTCTATAGTTTCAAAAATCGTTCCATAAAATTTTATTACAACACATTAGAAACCGCTACATTTGGCTAAAAATCCATTGCTATAGATTGTCCTATGACATCGAGTTCATATCTGTTGCAATAGAGACATCTGTGGCAACTATTTTCCTATTGTTGGACAAAACCATTATGATAGACCTATCGTAACGCGATAAAATGAAATGTTCCCTAAACCGTTGCCATAGGTCTATTGCAACGGTTATCTTATCTACTGCAACGGTTTCGGAACTGTTGTCATAAGCCATTTTTCTAGTAGTGACATATGTGTTCCCAGAAGCTCTTAATGCAGTAATCCTATCCTACTGTTTGACATGCAAGGCTGATAAGTTATGTATTCCTAAGTGATTGGTAATAATCGTAGGAACTTCTACTCCTGACTTGGTAAATCTACGAGTGTGTGCTTTACTAACCCTTACGTTTACCCAGATTAGTCACCGTGTCAATTAACTCAAAGTATTCACTCTTTTCTCATTAAAGTCAGACTATTAGATAGTAACAAATCCTTAACTAAATTTTTGTTGTTTAACCTTTTTCTCATTCATTAACCCCTTGGTAAGGAAAGTAGGAACGAGGCGAGTTCTAATGTTGTACATCGCTAGGAAGACTTCTAAACGAAAAGATTAACAATACATGCATAAACACTATTCAAGAATTACATAGTTATTATTCATCGTTGTTAATTGCTCATGGTTCCCACAACCCTAGTTGTGGATTTAGCTACTCATGCTTGAGAGTTCACATTCATAATTAGGTTAAAGGAAATCATGTACTTACAATTAGAATAGATGAAAGCCGAAATCTTCATTTGAAATTCAAAGTGCAATTGCATAAACTAACTTTCAGAAATTAAATTGCTAAGAGTTTGCAAAATAATTCCCAAAAGACCAGAAAAAGAAGTCTACAAAAATGTCTAACTCGAAATAATTAAAATTACAACCCATATTTATAGTAATCAACTCCTAAACCAAGTAGGAAATATAATAAGGAAATAACTACTCAGATGTGGTTACAATCGAAGATATGACCTACAGATCGTGGATCAACCTACGGTCCATGGTCTCCCTCCGTGGATCAACACTTGGAAATTATTACCTTCAGACGATGGTTGGACGTACGGTCTGTGGATTGGACTACGGTCCATCACTTGCCTCTGTGGTTCAAGTACTGGAACTTCAACTTTCTGATCACAAATGACGGACGTGCATGACGATCTGTCCTTCAATCTACAAAGTGTTTTTGGCCTCTATGGTTCCACAATTTGTCAGACTTCCTTGAACCTTCATCTACACTGCATTAGCTACGGCCCGTCAAAGGACCTATGGTCCGTGGTTGGCTCCGTCACTGGCCACTTCTATAATTTTCAGTTCTTATTTCAATCAACCGCAACCAAACCTATTTCCTGCAAAAATTACATAAAAACCATCATATTTAATAACAAACTGCTCAAGACTCGTACAAACATCAAGTGAAATGCATCAAAACTATTGTAAACTCACGGTATATCAACACCCTCAACTTAAAATTGTTTTTTGTCCTCAATCGACACACTATAACTCGAAACGACACTAGCGTAGAAGCGAACAAACAAACTCAAGCAATCACATAGATTTATCAACCAAGTCCTTCACTTAGTGCAAATCTTTCAATTTAGACTCAATAAGCCAACCCATGGGGATAAAAACAAAACATAGATAAACCAATAGACATCATCACATACACTTTCAACAATCACCAAGGTACCAAATCTCCAACAATGTAACTAGTGCCCTAAGAAATCATTTTTCACACAAAAATGAGATATTTAGGCTTAAGATGCAGTAAACACTCACGTTCAAAAGTGAATTCAATACAGTTAGTGCTCAATACCATAGGCTTGACCTTATTTTCACTACATAGACTCTCCAAACTAGTCACTACGATCACTATAGGACTTTATTAGCTTGTGAGGTAGGTTCAGGGTCGGGTATGATACATTTGGGTACTTTTAGTGACTTTTCTTCCCTCCTTGACATTACATTGGCTATTTACCTCTTTTCTTAACCAAGTCTGACATATTTATTTCTTCTCCTCTTTTCCTTGACTTTATTCAACACAAATGTGACTTGTCTTTTTCATTATATTTTTTCACGTTCTTCATTTTTTTATTTTAAATTCTTTATTCCTTGTTATTTAGCATCATTAT